GGATCCCCTTCAAGCAAAGATGCGGGGTTGTTATAGTTTAACAGAATTAATAATAGTGTCCGAAAAATATGATCTAATAATCTGCGTTCACAGCTGCACAACTGTCACCGAAGCGTCTGTAACCTGGTTAATTTTACAGGAGCCCATCGAGGGCGCGCCTTCGGCTGCTGAAACCCTTTCAACAGACCCTCCGCCCTTCCCCTTGAGGCCCGCGACTCGGCTTTTTGAAGAGTCAGATTCTGCTCCGCTTGTCTATGTAAAGAAATTCTAAGACACTCCAAAGTTTACTGATGTGAAACAGCTGTTTCACTATTGCTCGCGATTTTGCGGAACACAAAACCAGGCAGGGCTAAGGCACCTGAATCTTTTGTGTCACTCGACATTGAGACAGTCACTTGGTAGCATTCAGGTGGCAGAGACCGGCCTGGAGGGTCCAAGATGGCCTCATTGTCAAGCCTGGCACCGCTGAGGGTGACTGGGTAAAAGGTACGTGGGTCTCTCCGGGCCATTTAATGAGATTTTATTTATTTTTAGAGAAGAGGGTAAGGGAGAGGAGGGAAGAGAAACATCCATGTGTAGTGGCCTCTCACACGCCCCCTACTGGGGACCCGGCCCACAACCCAGGCATGTGTCCTGACTGGGAATCACACCGGGGACCCTTTAGTTTGTAGGCCCGCACTTCTCTGTGTCATATTTTATCCTTGCGTGTAAACCTCCAATTTTCTAAAAAGGTGTAATTGACAAAAGCGAGATGCAGAACAGTGTGTGTAGCATGTTGCCATTTTTGGAAAAATGGGGGCTGTCTATTTATGGACATGCTTGTTGTCGCATAGAGTATTTCTAGAAAGATATTAATAAAAGCAGTAACTTGTTTCCTCCGAGGAGGACGAGGAGGTCGAGGGTCGGGGCAAAGGTCACTGTGTGACCTTTTGCATGATTTGACATTTCTAGTCTGTGGGTGCATGACTTTTATATTTTACAGAAACATCGAGAAACTTAAAAACAAAGCAAATGTGAAGTTTAAATATTTATTTTGTAGTAAAAGCAAAGGTGAGTCCTCACAACCATCCCTTTCTATACTACAAGGATCCTGTGCCCCTTTTAACGGGGGAAATAGGGACTTTTAGTGGGAAAAGGAGGGTGAATCCAGCTGCAAACAGCTCTATGAGGCCACCTGTGTCCTTTATTTAATAGTTCTGGTGGGAAGGGTGTCCCTGCGCCCCACGAACTGACAACCACACCCGCCATTCGCCCACATCGTGCTGCTGGGGGTATAGAGCCCTGTGACTTCGGTTCCAGCCACCACGGTGCAGTCCCAGGGGAAGCTTTTATCTTCTGGAATATCATTACACATAATTTAAAATTTAAAGTCAGTCATCAGGCCCAGCCTCGTAGGTGTTCTTATGTATTAACATGTTGAGTCGGAGGCTGTGCTGAGGTAGCAAAGGCGCACGCTTCCAGCAGGAACTGGGAACGCCCCTCCGCTCCTTCCCATCCTTGCGGCGAAGCTACTTACCGCAAAGCTACTTACTGCAGTGGCTTTTTCGAAAGAGACGCAGTTGCCTGTTTACTCAGTTCCGGATGATCAGTGTCACTTCACCATTACTGAGTTCTTTTATCTTATTTACAGTTGGTCTTGTTCACCTAATGTTTGTTGGTTAAACCTATTTTAAGAGATACACATTTTTATATAACAAAAGATGGACACATTAACTGAATAGTTTATACAAATGCACTTTTAAAAAAGACTTTATTTATTCATTTTTAGAGAGGGGGGAAGGGAAGGAGAAAGAGAGGGAGAGAAACATCAATGTGTGGTTGTCTCTTGAGTGCCCCCTACTGGGGACCTGGCCCACAACCCAGGCATGTGCCCTGACTGGGAATCAAACTGGCCACCCCTTGGTCTGCAGGCCGGCACTCCATCCACTGAGCCACACCAGCCAGGGCTGTACAAATGCACTTTTAACATAGCCTGCATCCCACAGTACCACTAGACAAGAGGCATTATTATCACACAGCTGAGATTTCAAATGTGACATTTAAAGTGCAAAGTGTATGATTTTATTCCATGATGAGCAGATCAAGTACTTTTTAAAAAAAATTCTCTTTCCCTTCCTCCATCTCTAAGGCCACCAAAGATCTAAACTATTTCAGACCCGAACGGTGCTCAAATCTGTGAGTGCTCAGCAGGTGGGACACCCACGCACCAGAACACGACCCTCCCCACACCTCCCGTTCTCACACCACGAGCCAGGTTGCAGAAAACATGAGCTGCGCTGGTTCTCCTGACAGTAATACCAGGAGAAACGTGTTTAATGCCAGCAACTGAGCCTTTAGTGTCCCCGCCAGCGGTGCAGTGTGAGAAAGACACAGAAAAGCAGTACCATTGCTGCTGCCACATTTAGAAATAATGCCACAAAGACACTAGGGAAGATACGGCTCTTGGGTTCGCTGAAAATGAATGATTTTTTAATAAAGCTTCTTGTTTGTGAAAAGTGCACTTGGCTACGTAGGAGTTAGATCTTTGACGCACTTTGGAATTCACAAGTGAGGCCAGCAGTAGGCAAAACCAAACCCTGTGGGGTGAGTGTGTATAAGCGAGTTCTCTTCAGGGTCCCCTTTGGGCGTGGATTCTGTCACCGGAAATTGGATACTCTAGGGGACCTCTGAGAGCCACCTCTTGTTAGCCTCCTCAGTCCTCAGGCTGTGTGACAGGGGCTGTCGTTCCTGGAACACCAAAATCATATCATTGTTACATGCAGAGATGTAAAAGCAATCACAATTTGGGGAGTCCTGTTCACTTTCATAACATCAGACTCTGTCAAGTTAATGGCGCTTACATCAGTGAGTCAGATCCTCAGTACAGCGGATGCCACTTGGCCGCTACAGGTACCGGCTGTGACTCAGAAGTGCTGACACAGAGCTGCGTGGTCCCATATATTATTAAAGCCTGTCTCTGCATTGTCAGCCCGTGACCTAAGAGCTTGCACAGCAGGGTGCAGCTGGCACATCAGCCCGGAACTCTGGAAGTTACATTTCATTTTTGCGACAACTCTGGGAACTGCCTTTGATTAGAAAATGCCTTGAGATTATGAAAGCCACTCCGTGGATACAGAAAAGCTGCAGCTTTCTTCCTATCTGAGCCTCTGTTAGGGGAAAAACGATTCAGAGATGTATTGATTCCGTTCCATTGATTCTTTTTTCCTGGCTCAAGTAATTAATCTTTCTTGAGAAATAGATGCCATGCCTTGGCCTGTGTGTCTTAGTTGGTGGGAGTGTCATCCCACACAACAAAAGGTCACCAGTTCTATTCCTGGTCAGGACACACGCCTGGGTTGCCGGTTTGGTCCCTGGTTGGGGGCGTGTGAGAGGCAGCAGATTGATGCTTCTTGCTCACATTGATGTTTCTCCCTCTCTCCCTTCCTCCCTTCTCCTCTCTTTCTAAAATCAATAAGCATGTCCTTAAGTGAGAATAAAACAATTGTTTTTAAATCGATGGCAGTGTGGTACAGTGGTTAAGAGCACAGGCAATGGAAGCCACCTGCCTTGAGTTTATTTATTTTTTTTAATTTATTTATTTTTTAAAATTGATTATGCTGTTACAGTTGTTCTATTCCCCCCTTCAGTCCCCTCCACCCTGCCCCCCCAACCCCACCATTACCCCCCTTTAGTTTATGTCCATGTGTCTCAAGTCCTTTAGGTTCTATATTTCCCATGCTATTCTTGCCCCCCCATCTATTTTCTATCTACTGTCTATGCTACTTATTTTCTGTACCTTCTCCCCCCATCTCCTCCTCCCACTCCCCTGTTGCTAACCCTCCTTGAGATCTTCATTTCTATATTTCCACTCCTGATCTAGCTGTTCTTTTAGTTTGCTTTCGTTTTAGGTGTGGTTGTTAATAACTGTGAGCTTGTTGTTCTTTCACTGTTCATGTTTCTTTAACTTCTTTTTCTTAGATAAGTCCCTTTAACATTTCATATAATAAGGGCTTGGTGATGATGAACTCCTTGAATTTGGTCTTATCTGAGAAGCACCTTATCTGTCCTTCCATTCTAAATGAAAGTTTTGCTGGATAGAGCAATCTTGGTTGTAGGTCTTTAGATTTCATGACTTGGAATATTTCTTTCCAGCCCCTTCTTGCCTGTAAGGTCTCTTTTGAGAAATCTGCTGACAGTCTGATGGGGACTCCTTTGTAGGTGATTGTCACCTTAGCTCTTGCTGCTTCTAGGATTCTCTCCTTCATTTTAATTTTGGCTAATGTAATTATGATATGCCTTGGTGTGTTTCTTCTTGAGTCCAACTTTTTGGTACTCTCTGGGCTTCTTGGATTTCTTGGAAGTCTATTTCCTTTGCCAGATTGGGGAAATTTTCTTTTATTATTTGTTCAAATAGTTTTTCCACTGGTGGTTGTGTCTTTCCCCCTTCTGGTACCCCTATAATTCGGATATTGGAGCGTTTAAAGATGTCCTGGAGGTTCCTAAGACTCTCCTCATTTTGTCGAATTCTTGCTCCTTGACTCTTTTCTGTTTGGCCATTATTTGGTTTCTTCTGGTCCACTCCATTGATTTGAGTCCCAGTTTCCTTTTCATCTCTATGGGTTTCTTGTGGAATTCCATTCATTTCCCTTAATTTAGCCTTCATATGTTTCTCTAATTTGTGGCTATAATCAACCAAATCTGTGAGGAAGCTGATGACCAGTGTTTTAAACTGTGCGTCTGAGAGTTTTGCTATTTCTTCGTCGCTTAGATTTATCTCTGGGGCTTTGAGGTCTTCCTGCGACATTTTGGGTCTGTTCTGGCCCTTTAAATGTGAGAAACTGCGCCTTGGACTCCCAGGTCGCTGGGTTGTGACGCTGTATGTGGGGGCGTGGTCAGAGCGGGGAAATGGCGGCGCCCTCTACCGCCGCCGCGGCCGGTCCAACCGCCCACTCCCTCGCTCGCGCGCAATTAGGCAACCGCAGTCAACTCGCTGCACCGCCTCCCCACTGTCTCCTCTGCAGTCGCTCACCCGGTGGGTTGCTCGGTCGCTCACTAGGTCCAATCCTGGGTTTGGAACCCGTGCGTCTGGATTCGCGCGTCTGGATTCCGCGCCCGGGTCCGACCGAGCCCTCCTTTGCAACTCCTCACCAGACGCCGGTTTCGCCCGTTACCAGTCGGGCTGAAGAATTTGTTGTTAGCGGACTTCCGAAAAGGTCAGTTTTCCGTGTTCTGGTTGTGTTTTCTGATGCTAATATTTAGTTGTCCCTAAACTTGGTTGTATGAGGAGGCACAGCACATCCACCTAAACCTCCATCTTGGCGGAAGTCCTGCCTTGAGTTTAAATCCTGGGCCAACCTCTCTGCAAGATGGGAGGTGCTGAGCCAGTTCCAAATTTGCAAAAGGGAGAACCACAGTACCTAACACCGCTGATGCCAGCAATCACCATTCTGCTGTCCGTGTCTACAAATCTGACCGCTAGAGGCAGCCCATACACACCCCTCACTCTACCGAGGTGAGACCGATATACCAAAAAAGCATACGTATCTCGTGTATACATTTTAATTGCTTCTCTGACCACTCCAGCTACGTGGCTTGCAGGAAAGTTGACCATAGCAGATTCCACATCCCTAGCTAGATGGGTATCAGATCATCCTGCTTTCTGGCAGCCTGGGAAACTCCTGGTGCCCCCAGTCTGTCCCCCCTTGATTGGTCCACACAAGGGCTTATCCAAAGCCAGGCCAATCAGAGCTCTTCTCTGGGTTCGTCAACCAGGGCAGTGTTCACTCTCCACTACAGGTGAAGTGAACTTGATCATTGTTTTCATGGTAAGCGACACATGACATAAAATGCAACATCTTTACCATTTTAAATGTATAAAGTTCAGCGGTGTTAAAAATAACGCATTCACATTGTTGTGTAACTGATGTCCAGAACTCTTTTCATCTCGTACAGTAGAACAGACGCTCCACACCCATTAAACACCAATCTCATTTCTTGTTTCCCCAGCCCCTAGCAACCACCCTTCCTGCTTTCTGTCTCCGTGAGTTGGACGGCTCTGGCTCCCTCACGGAAGTGAAATCGATGGACCCTGTGGCTTTGTAGCCATTCACACTAAAATAGTGAGTTAAAGAAAAAACAACTGCACTGAACTGAAATTGCTTGTGGTTTATAAACACTTTGCATATATTGTAGCCTGAATTTAACCACCGTAGTATTATCAGCCCTTATTTTATTTTATTCTATTTCTGGAATTTCCCACACGAGCCATGGTCGGCAGCTTCTTTGTTAAGCTCACACTGACCATACCGGTTGGCACCCCACACTGTGTGGGTAGGTAACCAGTTCGGCTTCAACTCAGTGACCGTTGTGCTTCCATGGCTGACCCTGGACACCAGCAATCCTCCACCAGGGATAGTTTGCCCCCCTAGGGACATTTGCCAACTTCATATGTAAAATAATGCAATGAATAAATCATAATACAAGAATAAACTTTGTGTTTTGTGTACTCACGACTGTAAACCTCCTTTTGCCCCACCCTGTACTTTGTGATAGAGTGAACTTGTCCCTGTTAGGTACCTTGTACCGCGTTACTGAGTGCGTGTCTTGTCAGTTAGGATTCTGGCTATTGTGAGAGGTGTCAGAAAACCCCACCTCCAGTGGCTTAAACAAAACAAGAATGTGTTGCCCTGGCTGGTGTGGCTCAGTGGATTGAGCGCGAGCCTGCGAATCAAAGGATCGAGGTTTGATTCCCAGTCAGGGCACATGCCTGGGTTGCAGGCCAGTTCCCAGCAGTGGATGCGCAAGAGGCAACCATATATTGATATTTCTCTCCCTCTCTCCTCTAAAGATAAATAAAATCTTAAAAAAAAAAACAACCCAAGAATGTGTGGGCAGAACTGAGCAGCCCCGGGGTGATCTGGCTTCAGTGGTGCGCTCAGACCTCCATCCCTCTATCTGTTGACTCTGCTCTGCTCTGGGTGTTGGCTTCATTCTCAGGCTTCCTGTGCAAGCAAGGTGGCCACAGCCCCATCCTTCCAGGTTCAAGTGCAGCAGAAAAAGAAAAGAAATGGTGCTCATCCTTTACTAGAACTCTTGGGCCAGCTAGCTGTTAGCATCTAAAGTATTCAAAGTATGTTTACGGTAGTTTGGCCATCCCTGCCAATATTTCCGAGACTTGGCTGGGGCTGCTCCCTCCTGCTGGAGGATGAAACTAAAGCCCCACGTGGCTTGTGTGACGTCCTTGGTCACTCCGGGGCAGTGCCCTGACTAGAAACCTGGGCTCCTGAAATTGCTTTTTGTGTATCCTGAGTTGCTCGGTTTACATATGTGGGATTTTTTCCCCCACGCCTTTTAAATTTTTTTAAAAGTGTTCAATTACAGTTTCATTCAATATTTTTTTTAAAGATTTCATTTATTTATTTTATAGTGATAGGTGGAGGGAGGGGAGGAAATATCACTGTGTGGTTGCCTCTCGTACGCCCCCTACTGGGGAATCTGGCCTGTAACCCAGGCCTGTGCCCTGACGGAATTGAACTGGCGGCCCTTTGCTTCACAGTCCAGCACCCAGTCCACTGAGCCACCCCAGCCAGGGCTCATTCAATATTATTTTGTATTGGTTAGAGGTGTCAGCATAGCGGTTAGACACTCACATACTTTACACAGTGTTCCCCTGATGTTTCCAGTACCCACCTGGCACCATATGTAGTTATTACAATATTGAACACCCCCTTTGCTGTACTTCACATCCCTTGGACTATTTTGTAACTGCCAGTCTGAGCTTCTTAACCCATTACCCTTTTTCACCCAGTCCTCCAGCCCCTTCCCCTCTGACAACCATCGCTCTGTGTCTCTGAGTCAGTTTCTGTCTTGTTTGTTCATTTTATTGTTCTTTAAATTCCACATAGAAGTGGAATCCTATGGTATTTGTCATCTTGTGACTGACATTTCACTGAGCATCATGACCTCCAGGTCCCTCCAAGCCTTCGAAAGTGATAAGATTTCGTTCTTTTTATGGCTAATGCTCCATTGTGTCAGGGTACCACAGCTTGCATGGCTACTCATCTGCTGATGGGCACTTGGCTTGTGTACATGGGACTGAATTGAAAAAAAGTTTACTAGCACTGGCTAAGTTTCTCCTTTAGGTGGGTGAAGGAATCTCCCACCGAGATGTCTAGAAGTGTGTGTGGCCCTCATGGTGCAAGTAGAGTGCTTTAGGGAATCATTTTATTTCCCGAGTCTGGGCTGGAAGAGCTCAAGGGGTATGTGAAGACGTAAATACTGTGAGCTGCCCTTTCAGATTACCTGTGAAATCATAAAAGTCCCAGACAATCATAGAGAACACAGACATCTTTAAAGAGGCGCGCGCTCTCTGTCCCTGCTTTTCCTCTGAGCAGTTGTTCAAGGGCAGCCCTCTGTAGAGAAAGAAAGAGGGCCCTGAACTCGGTGAGCGTGGGGTTTGGGGAAGAGGGCAGCCACCGGGCAGCCCCCTTGGCAGTCACCTTGGCAGTGGCTGTGTGCTTTGGAGCCTCACAGGGGTTAAAATCCCTCTGAAAGGTGCTGGGTGGGTCGAGCCTTTGTGATGTCTTTGGTGGTGCTCTGAACATTTCTTGTCTCTGCTCCTAAATTTAGAGCCGGCAGCTGCCGCTGCTTTGTTCTAACAAGTCGGTAGTTTTCCATCCCCCTGGCTTGCTCGGATGGCCTTAAAATATCTAATGACTCTGAAAACTTCTAAGCTGGTCTTCTCACTTTTTTAGCCCTACGCAGGGATGGGCATGCCATGTAGTCTCTCGGTTAGTGTTGGGTCATTTCTGTAGGTTCACTATTGCCTTAAGAAAAATTAAAAGCTTCTCTTGTTCGGACATGAAGTATTGCCTTTTGTTTCACCTGACTACCCCCTACCTATAAAACATAAACATTCATATTATCTGATAGACAGAGTTTGAGCACATCACATGTTATAGGATATGGCATTCAATGTCTTTCATCTTCAAAGGCAGAAGGTTGCTTTTTATTTGTTTCTTAGTTGTCCATTTATTTATTTTTTAAGATTCCATGGGCTCTCCCAGAATTCCTTGGAGGTGTTTTAGGGGTGGGATCATAACTTTATTTTTCTATTGTAGTTTTTTTACGGTCTGGGATTTGCTTCAAAATTGTCCAGATGGAGGGGAAGGTGCCACTGGGCTAATGAAACAAGACTGGGCGTGGTTACTGTTGCCGTGGTTACTGAAGACCTGGGCCGAGGACCGTGGTTTGCAATGCTGCCCTCTACCTTCGTTTATGCCTCACATTGTCCAAAGTAAAAAGGTTTAACTTTTTTTTTGAAATACATTATTCCTAACCATCTCCCTTTAACAAAGATGACGCTAATAGTAGAAGCATTGCCACCTATAGAAGAAAAATAGATTACATTTGTTTTTCTTTGATTTGGGTAGGTACATCAAAAAGATAGGGAAATTTTAGCCTGGCTGGCATGGCTCAGTGGATTGAGCACTGGACTGCGAAGCAAAGGTTCACTGGTTCGATTCCCAATCAAGGCACGTGCCTGGGTTGTGGGCCAGGTTCCCTGTGAGGGATGCGTGTGAGGCAACCATACATCGATGTTTCTCTCCCTCTCTCCCTTCCCTTCTCTCTAAAAATAAATAAATAAAATCTTTTTTAAAAGGTAGGGAAATTTTATTATCATCTTCATCCTCAGCCTAGAAAGTACTAACTCTAAAGTGTTGTCAACACTCTTATTTTTTCACGACTCTCCACCAACATGAGTTCCTAGGTACAACTCGCTTAAATTGTGTTACAGCCCACTCCCACGTAGCCAACTAGTGTTTCAAAAAGGTTACCGGACATTTTAATGTAAAGACTCAACGATTTTTCTAACTTTTTAAAAAGATTTTACTTACTTTTAGAGAGAGGGGAAGGCAGAGGGAGAGGCGGGGAGAGACGGGGTTAGGACCCTGCAGACGGCCACTGTGCTGCGGGCGGTCGGCCCTTTCAGCCTCTGCTTGGAGAGTCCGTGGGGAAGAAGGCCCCCGGGTGCCGAGCCTCCTTGGAAATGAGGCAAATGCCAAAGCCACCTGACACCTGGGAAGAATAGAGGAAACACCAAAACTGTAATTTTAACAGCTTCAGTAAGTTGACAGAAGCAAGCAGTTTTCTTTCTAAAAGAACAGTTATTTCTGAACACAGTGATCAGAAACCAGGAAAGTCACGTTTGCTTTTGAGCGTTTCACTCTTGCAGCTCGCAAATTCCCTTCCAAGGAGTCCTCAGCATAGAAGCTTTTTTTCAAAAATTGTATTTTATTGATCATGCTATTACAGTTGTCCCAGTTTTCCCCTCATTGTCCCCCTCCACCCAGCACCCCCCACTCCCTCAGGCAATTCCCACACCTTTGCTCATGTCCATGGGTCTGCATGTAAGTACTTTGGCTACTCCATTTCCTATACTGTACTTTACAACCCCAGGGCTATTCTGTAACTGCCTATTTGTACTTCTTAACCCCCTCGCCTCTTCACCCAATTCCCCCCACATCCCCTCATCTGGCAACCATTAAAATACTCTATATCCATGATTCTGTCTCTGTTCTTGTTTGCTTAGTCTGTTTTTTAGATTTAGTTGTTGACAGATATGTATTTATTGCCACTTTGTTGTTCATTGTTCTTCTTTTCTTAAATAAGTTCCTTTAACATTTCATATAATAATGGTTTGGTGGTGATGAACTCCTTTAACTTTTCTTGTCTGAGAAGCTCCTTATCTGCCCTTCGATTCTAAATGATAGCTTTGCTGGGTAGAGCAGTCTTGGTTGTAGGTCCCTGCTTTTCATGACTTTAAAATTCTGGCCAATCCCTTCTAGCCTGCAAAGTCATAGAAACCTTTTTGATGTTAATTTTTTGTGTGTCCCTGCTGACGGCCCTTTAAAGAGATCAGGATTGTGGGATGTCGCAAGCAAGATCGCCACCTACCTGCAGAAATGATCATCGCACACAAACGCCAGGGTGGCATTTGATTGGCGGGTCGGCTGGGGAAGCAAATCTTTGTTTTCACTGACTGGACTTCCGTGGACAGTGGACAAGTGAAGATGTATATGTGGTCACTTCAGGCAATGAATGAAAGCCCAATATGTAC